CTTCTTCTTCTTCTTCTTCTCTCTCTTCTTCTTCTTCTTCTTCTTCTTCTTCTTCTTCTCTCTCTTTTCTCTCTTTTTGTCTTTCTCTTTTTCTCTTCTTTTTTTTCCTCTTGCCTTTTCTTTTTCTCCCCTTTTGGGCAATGCAAAGAAAATATAATAAGGGAAGAACATGAGTACTTACAATGGAGGCACCAGTGAAAGGAGCAATGTATTGGAGAGGAGCGGCCTCGGAGGCGGTGGCAGCAACGATGACGGAGTACTTCATGGCGTCGTTCTCCTCGAGGGTCTTGACGAGCTGGGCGACGGTGGAACGCTTCTGGCCGACGGCGACGTAGATACAGTACAGCTTCTTGGACTCGTCGTTGGAGTTGTTCCAGCGCTTCTGGTTGAGCATGGCGTCCAGAGCGACAGCGGTCTTTCCGGTCTGACGATCACCAATGATCAACTCACGCTGGCCACGGCCAATGGGGACCATGGCGTCGACAGACTTGAGACCAGTCTGGACGGGCTCCCTGACGGACTGACGGGGCAGGATACCAGGGGCCTTGAGCTGAGCACGGCGCTTCTCCTTGGTGTTGAGAGGGCCCTTTCCATCGATGGGGTTACCGAGGGCGTCGACAACACGACCGAGGAGCTCCATGCCGACGGGGACATCGACCTGTTACTTGGTGAGCTGGTGCCGCGCAAACATGAATAGGAATGAATTGCTTACAATCTCACCGGTACGCTTGACGGTCTCACCCTCCTTGACCAGACGGTCAGAACCGAACAACACAACACCAACCTGGCCAGCCTCCAGGTTCATGCACATTCCCTTGACGCCAGAGGCGAACCTGTCATCTGTCAATTCGACATTCTCGAAGATGATGGAGACGATGATACGTACTCGACCAGCTCCTCGGCCTGGACGTTGGCCATACCGTGCACACGGGCGATACCATCACTATAATGAGCAGGTTAGCAATTAGTCCGATTCAGAAAATGCCCGAGCCCAATAAATATCGCATCGGCAGCTCCGTCGATTTTGTAATTCATCGCAATGCATCGTGTTGGTGATGCCGAGAGCTTGCCGTGATATATGTCGTGGGTGAGACTTGGGAGATTGTTTGGCGCATGAAAATCCCGACTCCGGGCTCCACTTCTTGTAGGTTGCAGCTGTGATGTAGATATATTGACATACCCGACGGAGAGAACACGGCCAGTCTCGGCCAGGTTGGTCTCCTCAGCGACACCGCGGATTCTTTGCTCGAGGATGGAGGAGACCTCGGTGGGCGAGGCCTTGGCCTCGGCGTAGGATCGGGTCTGGACGTTGAAGGCGGCGGGTGCGGCATTTCGGGCCTGCGAAAAACAAAAAACGTTGACGTTAGCCGAGAGCGCGGCAAGAGGAGACAGCTAGCCCCAACAGCTCCCGACAGCTTCCAAAAGAGGCTCAAAACAATTCCATCGAGCTCAATTGAGCTGTTGACATGTCGGAGAGATGGATCGAGCGTGGTCGCGGACGAGGCTGGATGGGAATTGGTGGCTGATGGGGGGAGCTGGAGGTCGACCTCTTGTCTCTTGTTGTGTGTGGTAAACTTACCGCAAGCACTCTGCCAGAGGCAGAGAGGGCGCTCACGGCGCGCGTGGACTGACGGACGGCGTTGCGGAACATATTAACGAGGTATATATGATCCTCTGGGGGAAAGGAGAATCAATTGCAGCGGGATGCAATTGATACGGAGAGGAGATTGGGGGTTGGTAGAATTGACTTGAGATTTTGCAATTGGGACTTTCCAGGCGAAGTGCAAGTTTCTCACGAAGCACCAAGGGGAATGGGAAAAGGTGGACCCGAATGGCCCGCTAAACCAAAAGTGTTCGTTCCGGCTCCTCTTCTAGCTCACAGAAGCCAGATGTGAGCCTGGCCTGTGCGTTGCTCGGACTGTGTGCCAATTGACTTTTCTTGCTCACCAAGCTCACTTGCTGGATTTTAGGACTTTTTTGAATTTTGTTTTCCCCCAGCTATTGATCGGACATGCGGCCGAAATGTTTACCTTGACATGTCACCAATCCTGAATCTTTCTCCAGCAACATCTCGACTCTAGATGTAGCGTTGGAATTTCATCGTCCTTGTGCTGTGTGTTCCTGCCGGCTGTCCCGTTTCCTTCCGCATTCATGCTCATCATGCAGTGAGCTCTCCAACTCATCTTTAGTCCGTGCGAACAGCCTCTCCACCCAACCCCCAAGCACGGTACATCCACTCTAGCTTTGCTCCAAGTTCCACTCTTTGAATGCTGCAGCGTGACTTGAGAGAGCTCAAAATACTCTGGAGTCTTGATCGCGTCATGGCTTTGCAAGAACATTCAGAAAACCCTCACGGGCATGGTCGTCGACGAGACACGATCGAATGAATAATTATGATTTGCTTTCTTGTATGTTTCCTTCCATGCACTTGCCAATGATTCCTGGGCTCTTCCTACAACGACCAACATGGATTTTGAAAAATTCCCTCAGTATCGCTGGCATCGCGACTAGGTGGATCGGAGGGTAATCGGAGCTCAAACTACGTGGCTACCGTGTAGGTATTCAGCATCACCATCTACTACTGCTGCCGGATAATCTATCAACTTCTAGAAATGCTTTTCAAACTCAACAGCTTGCGGCGAATGTAGGATGTAGGAAACAGCAGCAAGATGGGAAGGACCACAAGCTTCAGGTATATCTGCACATAGATCTCGACCACAATGGCTCCCTCTCGCATTATACTTCCGTACCACTAATTTGCTCTGGACCTGGACGTCGAGGCTTATAAAGGTGACGAGTAGACACTCATTTGTTACCAGCCTAACTGATAATATGCGCTCCTACGCTGGCTTACATGGCATTTTCATGTCCCTATGAGGCACGACTATGCTTAAAAGAAAAACGTGGATTGGGACCGTGTCATTACAATGCTGACTTACTTTTCATTGGACCTCCATTCTTACTATGATCTGATGATTCGTCAAAGGGGCAGCCTTGCTTGGATGCCTCCTGATGCATTCCATTTGGGACATGTTGCTACAAATATAGACTGACAACTCCTGATCGACCAGAAAAACATTGGGCATGGCTCAAGCGTATTGCTTCGTTCCGTCGTTATATTATTAAAAGTGTTTGAATAGATGCCGACAGCATAATTAGCTCTGCGATAGCAGCTCAAGCAATACTTATGTGCTACGTATTTGCCTTCTGTGTTAATAAGGAAGGGGCAAAAAGAAAAAAGAAGAAGGGGGGAAAAGAAAAGAAAAGAAATTATAGATGTAGTGTCCCGAAGACTTTCAAGGGGGAAGAGATAGATGCAAGTGTCCGTGGATACCGAATACGGGATCGTAATTCGAGACCATATGGAACGACTTGACTGATACTATAGACTTCCGAACAAATTGGTTTTCGGTTGGAAAGCCAAGGTTTTGTCACACTCTCTGTAGATTCGCGTTTGGCCTTGTTCAAGCTTTCCATTGATTGGCGGTTCTCCATTCTGTCAAGACGACTAATACCTTGTGACAAAAGCTGATTCGTTAATGGACGTCTGGCAAGTATTTGTGGTTTTTTGCGGTCAACCGGCTCGGCCGAATGAGAGGGCATAGGCAAGTATTTCTCTCATGGTTATGGTTTGGGCTCCAAACACACAGTCTGACGTATGCTTGAAAGCTTCAAATCTGGTGATGTAAAGACTTCCCTTGTCCGGGCGATTTCCGGAACTGGCACTGTTTCGAGGCGTCCCCGGAATCTTCAGCTAGTAATTGCCATGAATTCGGAGACGTCTTCCATCTTCATTCCAATCAATTGAGTAAGCCGTCCCAGTCACTGGTGGGTGCTCGGCATGCCGGCTGACGGGCAGTTCCATTTTGACTCATGGTGGGTTAGGGCTGAAGGGTCTTACACGTTATGCTTGGCTCTCAACTGTGGTCTTCGGATATGACACCAATAAAAGTCAGCGCCAACCGTCCGAGGGATCAACGACGTAACGGTTTATACGAGACACAATGCAAAGGTACACATACTATTTGACAGTCATCAATGCCAAGCATCTTATATGGTGGGTTCTATTGCCCACTTTCACCAGGCGAGCCGTGGCCAAGAACGATCTTGGATGCATAGATCGTATAGCCCATTACGTTAGAACACAAGATGGTCATAAGTGGACATGTCCAAGGGCTAAGAACGTTCTAGATGTCAGCATTTAAAAGTCGAACTCTCCTATATAAGTTAAAACACCAAGAGCATGAGCCATGGTGCCGATGAGCTAAGAATTACCGAACCGTACTCAACATGGCCACCGTGACTGCAACGCCAACATCGGCAATCTATGCTCGACACAACTTGGGTCCTCTCACAGTACCATTTGAAGCACCGGCCTCTTGTATCTATAATATCGCTGAATGCGACACCTGCACAAGGGGCTGGCGCGCGCAGTCGTGCACATTTGACGGTGCCTACCCGGTGGACGACTCGGCCTGCTGGCCGCCCAGGGCGACGTATGCGCCAACAACGCAGCCCGGTTTCAATGGTTGGGGGTTTTACTCTCCGGGCACTCTGTGCCCGAGTGGATATACACCGAGCTGTACAAAAACAAACGGTCTGGATGGGGGGTTTCCCTTTCAGTACGACCTCGTGAGCTCAGAGACTGCCATTGGATGCTGTCCAACGTGAGTGCAAAATCTCGCTCCTCATTCCAGAGATCTCTCGACTCAAGTGTCAATTATAGTGGTTTCAGTTGTACTCTGGACAAGAATGAAAAGCAGACCTGCGTGACGATAGCAATGTCTACATCAATTACCACGGCGACATGTCCTGGCCAAAACAGTGGACAGCCCTCGGTTTTCCACTACAAGACGCTGCCATCAAGCGTACCGAGTAGTACCATTTCGTCCGAGAATGCTATAGCCCCAGGCTCTGTCGTCAGCAACTTTACGTTATTAGCCCCGTTATTCCAGCTGGTATTCCAACCGTCAGACTTGACCACGACTATGGGTGGTCCAACGGCTACATCTTCAAGTGACGTCTCGCGTTCAACGGCAGCGACCAGTGGCGCCTCGAATCAGACGACCAGTGATCAGGGCACCACTGGCGGTCTGTCCACCGGAGCAGCGGTGGGCATCGGTATAGGCGCAACTGCTGGCCTGGTTGGCCTGCTAGTCCTAGCATACTTTGCATGGCGCTCGAAGCGACGAAACAGGGGACCAGAAATGGTATCAAGTGCTGCGTCTTCATCGTCTACAGGTAACCCGACCATGTACTCGGAGCTGTCGTCCGCGGCCATGCACCAAGCGCCCTCTAGCAGTATTGCGCCGAGTGAGCTTGCAGCTTCGTCCGAGATACACTCGCAGAATATTCGCCCAAACACGCAGGACTATAATCAAAAATCATTAATGTCTGTCAAAAACAGTATCTGAAAGACGATTACGCAGATGAGCTCAAATCTAACGGCCGCATATCTTTTCCGAGTCTGGACCAGGCACATGAGCATGAACCACGTTCCACACCGGAAAAATCAATCATATAGCACGACAGGGCAGTGTATTGTATAATGTATATCGATGTTACACATGGACAATTAATTCCATATTACCACCTTTGTTGATTTGTTTTCATGATAATCGTCCAATAATAAAAGAAAGAAAGAAACAAGAAAAGTACACTCTGATAACTATTCGCTAATTAATAGTCCCGCTAATAATCAAAAATCCAAGAGGTTTTGGGTACCCTGATGCCCGCCTCTTTCTCTGCAGATCAACCCACCCACGGACAACACAACTCCAGATATTCCGTTGCATCTCTGATGCGTGAAGCCCGGTACGGATGCCCAGAGGGCAAACTGTTGAAAAACCAAGATTTGGGTAAAATCACTCTATTTACAGCAGCAAAAATCCACCCTCCTGTGCCCCCCCCCCCCCCACCCCTTTTTTTTGGGGGGGATTTTTCAACAAAAGAAAATGGAAAAACAAAAGAGAAAAAAAAGAAGAGAAAAAGAAGAAGAAAAAGAAGAGAAAAAGAAGAGAAAAAGAAGA